AAAGAATTCAGTTCTGGATCCGTATCCAAGACATGTCTGGATTGATCAAGTTCAAACTTCACACACACATGGTACATCATGTCACAAATAGATATGTGCATTTGTTTCATGATCTGCTTAACAATAGCGGAATGATGGCCATTTTAAGGCCGAAAATGCATCAAAATCGCGTATTTTCACAATTCCAGAACCGGATCTCAGTCATGCATGGATGGATTTTGTTCAGATTTAGCACAATGTGTTGTAAATATGCAGGTGCATTTCGGTCATGATCTGCTTTGAATGTATATGTCACTCAAATATGAACGGAACGGGGACGTGTCATTGACAATGACTTGTTGGATATAGTTTAATGGTCAGTTGAACGTCATCTGTAACTACCGCACACATAAAAGACTTGCCTCACATTATTCCATCCTTGACTTCAGATGTTCAATCCTAAAGTCTGAACAAATCCCTCTCAATCTTGACTGAAACGTGTATTTGTGGTCATGGAGCCACGTACACAGCTATAACTAACCATGACCGACAGTATTGTAATGGATCGGCAAGTCCAACCTGCTGTGGGCATTAGATTCTCTATGATTGATCAATCTTGTATTCCATTCTATTTATTTGCCAATGTAGGCAGACTGACAAATCTTTATACTGGAGACTCGTATAACATAGAATTTTTATAGATACTTGTAGGAGAGAACTGGAAACTGAATTCCGTAAAATCTGCATTAGAAGCTGCATCTTTAATAGAAGTCTCTCCTATACTTTTTAAACAATTAACCAAACCAAACATTCACCATTTTTCATACATTTAGATGTTAATAGAAACCGCATCCTCTCTGTTGCATTGTACCATTTTATTAGAAAACGTGGCTTCTAATACAGATTTTACAGTAATTTGTTTTTATCATGCTGCGGTTATTTCTTCCAAGCCTCACTTTCAGGCCCACTGCAACCACAGAATATATGTGATTTGTCATTGATACGTTCCATTGATTTTGACAATCAGAATGTGTGGGGATGGTATTTGTCGTACATGATGAAATTATAAGGGATACAACTGAGGTTATTTTCGTCTAAAAACAAGAAGAAAGCATGTTTTGAACAGTCATTTTGAGTCCTCAAAATGATTACCAATCATGGGTTCATGCAAAATCAAAATGTTATTCCCGAGTTGTTTGTTCAATCTGTGAGTGTGTTTATGTGATATCCTCTAAACTGTTTGTTCGATCACTGAGTGGGAATTGTCGAAATATACATGACTTGGTCACAATGCAAAACAAGCTGGTTGGCGATTTTCTCCGCTCAAAAAAGCATCGTAGGACATGAACGTGAAGCTAACTTAGGTTTATAACTAAAACCGGGCCCATATACGAAGTTCCCAAAAAAGACTTAGTCTTCAAAAATCACTTTACTTTATTACTAGCACGTATTCTGTTATAATTATTATTTCCGACCGTTGTGCGATAGTATTGTCAAGATTCGTTGATCAAACACAGCATTTACAGTTCATATAAAGTTCAAAGTTACATTGATACAATGTCAGCGCCAGTAATCTCTTGTCTGTGCACAAGGTAATACATTTGGGGCGAAAGTATTCAAAAATCATTTTTTTTTCCAATTAGTGACAGTATGACCTGCTTACCAGGTATTAACAAAATCAGCCAAGCCAAAAAAAAATTACAGAAGAGTTAAAAAGCTGTTACTGGTTAAAGTTTATCCAAACTTTGAGGTAAAATTTCTCGGTAATGAAGAAAGATATAAAAAAAACACAAGCATATATTAATGGTGGTGGCACAATTCACTGCGTACAAAAGATATGGTTGATTTTATGCAGGGGACTCCAAAATTCATTTGATTGTGACACCCTCATAATACAACTGACTTAGCAGGCATACGCAACTGACATTTAGTCTGTGTGAGAGTATACTAGAATAGATTTATTCAGGGTCAGGTGTAGCTTGTGTCAAGTGATATATATTAATTCTTATGCTCACATAAGTGTCGCAATAACATGTATCCATAAAAAAAAATACTTGTGCTGGGAGGTTGCAGCGATTGATTGATCTGATTATAATAATACCCTTTTATGGTTGTAACACAAAAATACAAAGAGTCTACTTCATTGATAATGCCTAAAAGTTTTAATTCCTACAATCCTGAAGAAAGTTGGGCATCCTCTTCACATTGAATCTTCCGCTCAGGTACAAGTGCACACGTCTGACATGGTCGGTTTGAAGTCCAAGCTGCTATCACTTAGGTATGACTTGTACAACAATAATAACAAATGGAACTCACAAGGAATTTTATTTGATGACATTACAAAATCTTTGATCCAACTTCTTTAAAAAACACTCGTGACAATTTCTCATGACATGGATTCAAAAGTGACCAACATGTGGCCATTTTGTTTCAAAAGACACAGTTTGAACTTCACATGCACAATACCAGTATACATCATGTCACATGTATGCATATCAACTCATTTCATGGCTTGTTTCTTTGAATAGGTCACTGCTTTTTTTAATTGCATGAAATTGTAACATTTCACAAATAATACACCTATTTGGTGTTGGAGATCAAAAAGTACTATTTTCAATGACTTGTTTAATGTCTTTATTTTTCTGGCATGACCAATTATGTTAGAAGTTACTATTTTAAAAAAATACTTGTGCATCTAATTTGTTTTGTGATCTAAATAATTTTGATTAACTGACGTCCATGAAATGCCATCTGAAAACTAGAACTTGTGAATTGACCTCTGTTGATGTGTGCGTCTTAGACATGCCTGGACCAATTACATTTAAACTTCACACATACATTATACATACGATAATATTATACATATGGACATCAATTTGTTTCATGAACTGATTCAAGATGGCCGAATGGCGCCCATTTTTCTGCTGAAAAATCATCAAAATCTGGCATCCTGGATCTCGGGTGTTTACAGATAGATTTTGGTACATACATTTGACATTATAGGTCCTTAATTGCACGTCATTTTGTTTTTTAGATCAGATTCAAAATGTCTGATTTTGTTTTAATGAATGCGGTTCTAGAGCCTTATCTCTGACATGCTTTGATTATGTTCAAATTTTATATTTTCATTATACATCATGTCATAGATATACAGATGTATTGATTTGACGATCTGATTTAAAATGACAGACCAGTTGCCATTTTGTTTTAATTAATGCTGTTCCAGAGCAATATCTCTCAGTATGGACAAATACTCGTTTGACGATCAGATACAAGACTGAAAGCTAATCATTTTAATGTTAAATAAATTATCAAGCATCAGCTTCTGGATCCATATATTCTGACATGTTTCTGTTCGAAATATATTACTATAAACAAAACTATATATCTTAAATTTGATAACTAACTTGACTGTGCCATGCATTGTTAAGTACTAAAAATTGAATGTTAAAGTGGCTGGCCGATTACAATAAAACTAAGTGGAATGAAGATGCATATTGTTCGTTTTCAAGATCGAACTTGCAGGTGTTTAGTTTTATATTACAGTCCCAATTGGATCAACATTGCCGTCTCTCAACTTTTACTTGTAAGCTTAATATTTTGGTGACTTCATTTTAAAATATCGACACTTAAATTACAGACTGGGACAATGTCATTTACGGACTGGTCTACTGTGGCCTGGGGGGTTTGACTTTTGGTTCACGCACCTCTACCTAACTACCACTACCTTTTACCAACTCAGTGTTAAAATGCTTTGTTTTGACTCCTAACACGGGTTGTTTATTTAAATGTGTTGTTGTTTGTATCTAGACTTTGGACCTTCTGTTTTGCTGCAGGTACATAAACATGACAATAATAATCAGACTTCAAGGTCTTCCCTGGGCAGCTAGTGCATTGGATGTACGACATTTCTTCAAAGGATTGACAATACCGGATGGTGGAGTTCATATCGTTGGAGGTGAATCTGGTGATGCTTTTATCGCATTTGGTGGCGATGAAGAGGCAAGGAAGGCAATGCTCATTACTAATCAACCTCTGTGTGGCTCTAAAATTACTTTAATGCTAAGTAGCAAATCAGAAATGCAAAATGTTATTGCAGCAAGTAGAGCTGCTCAGGCTAGAAAACGTGGTGATCCTTTTGATGGAGCCGTTGCTGCAGGAAATGAAGGAAACATTACCCCTACACTTGATAATAGAGGTTTTGGTCAATCTAAATCAGGTTTTCCAGCTGAGCAATCCATTCAAGGAGGTCCTCCACCACCATACAAACCAAACATAACAGGGCAACATCCAACGCCCCCATATGATAGAAGAACAGAAACTGCTCCTTTGTACGGAAGACCTGATGATCGGCCTTTCCCACCCAGAGGAAGAGAACCAGTACCACATGGGCATATGGATAGACCTCAATTTGAACAACCTCCATATGATCAAATGCGAATGGGAGATCAACTTGAACTAATGAGCCGACCATCAAATCATGGGAGATCGGCTGAACCTTCACACTTCGGTAGGCTTGGTGAAGAGCCATTCAACAGAGATGAGCCATTCAACAGAGATGAAATGCATCCTCACCACCAACAACACCCATTGCCGCCACATCAAAGTCAACCTGGCCAGCGCCTAGACCAACGACCACAACAACCACTTTTAGCAACTCCAATCATGCCTGGTGAAGGCCCTGCACAATTTCAGTCCCCTCTTCCAAATAATGAGGCATTTAACAGGAACCAAGTTGTCCCCACATTTGATCAAAACAGACCTGAGGAGCCATCTTTTAGGAATGGTAACTATGGAAACATGTTTAATGAAGAAAGGCGTTTTGGCCCCCCTGACAGATCGGAGAGAAGATACCCAGATAATTTTTCAGAAAAGCCAGAAGAACCACCACATTTCAGAGATACAGGTGGAAGACGGAGCGAATTTCTCTTTGGAAATCAGTCTGAAAGATCGGGTGAACAACCTTATAGGTTTGAAAATAAGCATGGCGCGGATAGTAGACCTGATCGTGAGAGGAATCGTTATGGTTCTGGTTCTGGTTCCAAACATGGAGACAGTTCTAGGTACAATGATCAAAGGCACCGTGGATCTCATGATGATAGGGGAGGACGTAGTCGTTCTGAATCCCAATCAGACTCGAGCCATCGACATCATGAAAGATCTTTTATGGATGATCGACCCAACAGACCACAGTATCGAAGAGAAGATTCTGAATCATTCAATGAAGAAAAAAGAAGGGGAGATGATGGTTTTTGTGTTCGTCTTCAAGGACTTCCATTTTCATCTTCTGATGAAAATATAAAGAAGTTCTTCGCAGGTTTAGAGATTGATCGTGATGGTATTAGGATTTCAACTGATTCATTTGGAAAGAGAACCGGAGATGGTTTTGTGAAATTTAGAAACCAGATGGATCACCAAGAAGCATTAAAAAGGAGCATGAAGTATATGGGAACAAGATATATCAAAGTTATTCCTTGTCCTGAAAAGGTTTGGGCCTCATGTGGGGCAGATTTTGAAAGGCGACACAGTAGAGATGCTTTCCATTCAGACAGACAGCACCAAGATGCCCCAAACTTTAGTTCCAGAAGTTCCCATCGGAGTAGATCCCGTTCCCCCATAAGAGACTCTTTATGTGTATCCTTGCGAGGACTTCCATTTGTTACAAACACATCCCACATCTTTGATTTCTTCAAAGGTTTAGATGTCCCGGAAGAAAACATCTTTCTAGAAGTAAATGAAAAAGGAAATTGTAAAGGTGCAGGTTATGTTGAATTCAAAACGGTGCATGATTTTAGAAAAGCTCTTGCAAGAAATAGGCAATATATTGGAACTCGTTTTGTAACAGTAATGGCTATTGCAAAGGAAGATATGAAAGCTCAGATCAGATCACATCCTAACTGGATGCGCACCGTTTCACAAATGTCGACAGCACCTGCTACACCAACAAGTGATGATAAGAAGTTGCCATTAGAAGATAAAATTGAACCCCCTAAAGATGATGTGAAAGAGAAAGGCAGTTCTGAAAATGCTCCTAAATCTATTACAGATGAAGGTACATGTATTCGTATGAAAAACATACCATATGCTTCTAACAGAGGGGAAATCTTGCACTTTTTGTCTGGTATTGCCATAGTCCATCAAGGAATAGAGAGAACATATAATGAGAAAGGTCTTCACACTGATGAAGCGTATATCGAGTTTTATTCTGTAGAAGATGCTAAGAGAGCTGAAGCAAGAAATGAAGGCAAGATTAGGGATAGAACTATTTATATAACTAGGGTCAGTAAATCTGAAATGCTACAGCGTTTGAAAGATAATGAACCGCTTCAACAACTGGCATCTGAGAGAAGAGCTTCTATTGCAGCTTCACGTGGTGGTCCACTGATTCCAGGTGGTCCACCTATGCATCATGGTGGACCAAATGGGGAAATGGGAAGAAGAGAATGGCAAAGACCTCCCCCTGACATGATGGGGCCTAGGCAGCATCCAAGAGAGGGTGGGTATGGCAATGATAGAAGGCATGAGGGAAGGCCAACAGGTGTAGAAAATTTAGGTGGTAGGGCGTGTGTCGTAGGAGCAACAAATATTCCCTATAGTGCTACTATTCCAGATATCCTCAATTTCTTCAATGGATATGGAGTACTTCCCGACTCTGTGCGGATACACTTCAATGATGCAGGCCGGCCGACAGGAGATGCTCTGGTAGCTTTTGATGGTCCACATGAAGCTAACAGAGCTCTTAGGGATCTCAACAACACCTTTATGGGACCAAGAAAGGTACAACTGTACATGGCATAAAAAGGTACATAAAAGACAATAATATTGTATCATACTTGATTCACCTGGCTTAAAAAAAAGATAGCAAAATTTCATTATTTAGATCGGTTCAATTTCATTAACAGTTTCCTGGATCTAAGGTCAACTGCTTAGCTTGACTTCTTGCCACAGAACTCACTTGGCAATAAAATCTAATAACATTACCACCACTATGTCAAATAGCTTGCTCTACTATGACATGAACTGCCTGCATCATTAACTCCACAGAAATGTTAGATTCCCAGTGGATTGTGTTCATAACTGTGACTGTGGACAATGAATGACACAGACCTTTACTTCCTTTCAAATTACATGTTAGCAGTTTTGGTTTGCAATTGGCCATGATCCACGAAAAAGGTAATGTAGTCACAGGTATCTATTAAAACACTGGGAATACAAATTAGTTTGTTTTCTCCTGTCAATTTTCCCCCATACTAAAAGTGTATTTTCTACATCTGCGTAGCTGTGGTGTGTGGTTGGATTTACTAGGTAGTGGCATATTGTAAGTTAACTGGTTGGTTTTTCTTTTGCTAATTTTTTTGATTGCCATATTTACTGTTAACAGTTCAGTGCATCCATTACCACACTATGTAGACTGATGGTGCAGCATGATTACCATTTGGGGTGCACCAAAAGCTAGCCCATTCAGTGTGCATTCTGCAGTACCAACTACATGTATACAGGTGAATGTAAACCAACAGCCACATATTTTTAACCAGTCAACAACCTGTGTATCATAGTAAACCAACCACACTATCTGCCAACACCCTCCCTCATCTGTTACTCGTTAATGCATTATTTTGAGAACTACTTGTGCCACATCCAGAGAATTGTCTTTTGGTTGATGCTGATTTCAAAAGATTGTGACTAATCAATACAGTGTTCTGAGAATATCTCGGCATAGATATTTTAGAGACAAACAAATAACTGAACAAGGCAAAACAAAAATTAATTAGCACCTGTGTATGCAAATTAGCCACAGCGCTTGAATATTTTCTCAGGGAGAACACAATGCATAGTAGTTCCATATATCTATCTTATTTCGCTCTCCAAAATCCTTGTAGCCATAGCATCCTCAGGTGTCTCTGTATATGGTGGTGGTGGTAGTGATTCTCCCAGTAAATTCAAATTTATCTCTTAAGTATGCATCTTCTCTTAGATTGGCTTAAGCATAACATTTCACCCAAGTAATTGGAATGAAAATTGTGCAGATGTCAAATATCAAATGCATGCTATTATTTTTGATTTCTAGAATTGAATAATGATTAGAACAGCCATGTAAATGTTACAACATCATGGTAATTTTTACTGTCTCATGGCTGTACAAAGTGGCCTTCATAGTAATTGAATGTGATCTACTGTAAGCAGTTTGTTGGATTTCTTTATTTGATAAACCATGAAATACAGAAAAATTATTTTCGTAATCCAAAACTGGTCACATTTTCCCTTACTTGAGAAATCTTTGTAAGTTAATTGGTGGTGGTCATCATGCCACTTGTGCGCCAGATATGGTCTCATATGAATGAAATTGTTGAATGCACACGCATCCTGTCAAAACAACTTCCAATAATGCACAGTTCAAAATGAACAAGGAAAAAGACGGTACCAAGATTTATTTAAGTAAACTTTAGGATCATGAACCTCCAGTATGTCCATCTCACCCAGATTTTGCATACATATATGAATTTTTAGTAGAGCGCCATAGGTTGTCGGAAATTAAATTCATTTATGAACACTTGTTTAACGCATGCATGGTGTGACGACCACGACCTTCAAGTAATTGCATTCTTAAATTGAAAAAGTTGATTTATTGGTGATTGATTAATTGACTACCAAGTGTCTATCGATGCTAAAGGAGTTTGAAAGAAAACCTTAAATTTATAACTTGGTAATAAGTCATTATTCATGGTATCATGTGTGTTTTCGTTGTTTTTATTTTGTTGAATAGGCCACATGTTCAATACGGGATATTACAGATGAAGTAATAGAAGATGTACATAGTCCGTGGTGTATGGATAGTATTGTTGAAGATCACAAACTGCTGAGACGTTATTTCTACTGCGCTTTCAAATAAGTGTCGTACAATTGTATTCTTTTCTTTCACTGATGCACAAAAACACTTGATAGATTATATTCTTACTCTGGATCGTGTAATTTGATCTAGAATACTGCCACTGATTGAACCAGAAAACCCAACATAGTTGAAGTGATTTGGGATAAAAATTTGAAAGAGAATTTTGTTATATTTTTGTATATAGATATCCTCTTTATACAGTAACAGTTGTACCTATTGTTTTACACTCGCAGTGTTCACTGATATTGCTAAAGTTAGACTTGTTAGAGTAGCACATGTTTTATGTTGTCGAAAAGTCAATAGTAGTAGTGACTTTGAAGTAGATATTTTTTTATTTGAAATTTTTATATATGTTCTGTTTTGTAGTGTCTCATATGAAGACTATCATTATAACTATTTTACATATCAATCAAGGTGTGTTGTATTGTCTGTTATTTAAAAGATGCCTATTGTATTGTGAAGTAGTGCTTGACACCCCCACCCCTTCAAAAACAAAACGTCTTACCCAATTATTAAAAATAACTGTTATATATAAGTATTTTAAACATTTAAGTTGCATACATTAGTGATTTCAGTGTTTTGGCATCAAAATTAACACAATGACAGCTCTATGTATGTATGTCATGTTAAATTTTGCATTAATACGAACCAAATTGTATTGACAAAGCATTTTTTGTTTTATTCTTTAAACCTTGTTCTCATGGCTCAAGATTTAGTTTTACCTTAGTTGTATTTACTTGGCTGGAAGGCAATACTATGAGATTATTACCAGATATCAAATGTTCATAAAGCTGGATGAGTGGCATCATGGGCTAGTATTATCCACAAACCGAAGGTGAGAAGATACTACAACTCATGTCACAAGTATCAACTAGCTTTACAAATAAGTGATATCAGGTGATAACCTTTTTTATCGCAAGACCAACTTAATGTCAAAATGACAGAATTCGTGATTTTACAGAACTATGCTTATGTATCTACCGGTACTGCTAAATAGGCATGGTACATTGTATCTAAGCTAGTGGGTGGACATGCATTTGCAGTTATGGTCGTCTATTCAAAATCATCAAATTTTTTTCTTCAAAATAAACTTTCAGTTGTCATGAGTGCAAGTAATGGTTGTTATCCAGCCAGAAATTCTTATCGCAGTGATAAAAATGGTACTATTGCAGAATTTGTTTTTCCCCTTGAGTGCTGTTCGACCTCGCACAGAATGATGACGTTCAATGTGAAGTATCAGTGATATTTCACACTAAACGTCACTACTGTGAATGATGGTGGTCATGTGATAATAACTATAAAGCATTCACAAGTGTAGAAATATCGATACTGTCATTTTCACATATGTACATCTCAAGTTTATAAATATAATTGCATTTTATTCAAATCAAAACCTAGTCATGATTGGCTACAGGAATGACTTGTGGTACCAAACACAGTGACTGCAAATATACAGTCAATCTGGCCAAATGCGTTTAGTTATTTGCAGTTTGTAAAGTTAAACCATAAATGTTAACCCCAGAGTTTCTGCCTGGCATTGTACTGTTTCAAGTGTGATTATAGTTTAAACTACTTTATTCCAAAATTTCTAAAACAAACATGACATTGAAAATGGTTGAGGGGCATTGGTGTCAATGCCCATCAAATGATTGTCATCTCATTCAGTAGTTACCCCAAGTGCTCTCGTGGAAACCTGAAAAGTAAATGCAATAATATGATTTCTCACACTTACAAAGAGATTACAGTATTTCTACATTTGTGTATCAAGGTAATATTGATGTATTTGTTTATTTACACCCATCAGACTGATAAGGTGGAGTCGTATTGTATTCCATAACACTGGGTTACTGGTAAAACATGGAGTCCAATATGGTAATCACATTTTGTGAAATTATTTACGAAAATGTACATAAATTATGTAGCAAGGTTGTAAAAGTTCAAGTGTAACTCGACCAGTATTGGTAAAATTTCACCTAAAATTTTTGCCTTTGCCTTTGCAATTGCCTTTGTATCTGATAATTTTCACATTTGGAAATCTTATCAATTCATAAAATATGTCAACCAAGTTCAATTTGAGTTTAACTAATCGGTAACATTGTCAAGATACGATTTAAAATTTGGCTAAATTGAAACATGCATAAACATAGCTAACACCTAGTAGGTGTCAACATAGGAAGTGAAGCAAGAAAATAACGCTGAATACAGACATTTTCTATTGCTGATTATAAGAACCAGATATTATACTCTCCAAGAACTGTCAGTTAGGCAGTGTAGTAATCCAATGTTACTTTCATCACGTAGTATAAATCATTTTAGCCCCAATGTTTTTCCAGCCAAAATGTTAGTATTTTTCTTGTCAAATTGTGCCGAGATATATTTATAAAATTTATGTGATATTATTCTATAAGGGACATTCGGATTAATACAGTACATGAATAAATGAAGATGAATTTTAATCAATTTTTTGTGTAATCACATGACTTCTTTGTTCATTTTTGATAAGAATTGTTCACACCAAATTTTTATCCAGTATTTGCGCAAAATTTGCATTGTTTCAAAACTTTTTTCTTTACTTTTGCCATTACAAAAGAAAATATTTGACAATAGTTTGTGTCTATCCTGTTATTTAATGGCTAGATTCTTAATGGGTAAGGTTGTAATAGTTACACTATGTTTTGAAGCAGGGGCAGTTGCTTACGAGTACAATCAGATTGGTCACACATTAAGGTACAGCAGCATAAAAAAACTTGAGAACTTTTTTTTTGTAAAAAATCTTTCAACTGCATGTCAGTGTCACAGTACATTTATAAATTTATTGCCTGTTATTCAATGTGTCATAAAAAGAAAAGGTGTTTTTTTTCTCTTCATTAAATAAAGTTGTTGCAGAATTTGTAATTGTTTCAATGCTTATACCCCAGTAGCCTTACTAATAAATCAAGTTTTTAAAAATCAAACATTCTTTGAATTAGAGTTTAAGCAACTCTTGTTTTAATGCGTATCCATGTGATATAGCGCCCTCTAATGATACATTTCAAATGCATACATAATTAGCAGTTGAGTTGAAGCATATATGGAAGGAAGAATTTGATACATTAAACAAATCTAGAGCTGATTGGTGTGACATTTACATTTTATGGTTGATTAGTGCTGGCATACAATAGAATGCTGGCATTAGAAAGAGTGCTATACTTCCAGCCATGAATCTTTTAGGCAGTGTCCCATGCGTCTAACTATAGAAGAAGGCATTTGCACCACCTGAAAAAATGCAACTTTGATTACAACTCTGGTTTGGATTATTCATACAAATCAAAACTTTAGAACATAATGCATTTTATCATTTTATTTATTGTGAAATTTGCAGCTTCAAAAATATATTTCAGAAATAATTACTACAGGGTAAATTACAGAGTAACATATATTACGAGTTAATTATCTTTGATAAATAGATAAGTTATATGAAGTATATACAGATGGCATACATCTGAAGTGTGACAGAAGTAACATGCTATGTATATATAGTAACAGTCTAAAACTCTAGTATACACTTTAACCAAAGACACTCGTGTCTTGGCTTCTATCAACACTCTGGACTTGAAATATGCCATTTAGTATCCATTAATATAAACCTATTTACATATTTCCTCATTTCCTATTGTTGTGGCACTATTTCAAGACCACTTTATATAGCCTGTACAATATGTAGCTACTGTGAACAGTAATCATTTGATGATGATATTCAGATTGTTTCGGCTTTACATTTGATTGTCTGCTTTTGCCGAGTATTTCAAACCCACAAACATTTAACTGTTCCTAATTTCACTTGTATACAGACATCAAATATGTCGCATAATAGTCACAAGACCACAATAAAGCTGTAGAAAAGATCCAATTTCAAAATGGATATGCCAAGGTTTTTTTTGATACTGTCTCCCAATACTCCCTAGGTTTCTATAAGTAACAATAATGCTACAACTTTAATTGTTGCAAAGTAATTGGAATTCTATGAGCAACACTAGAACAAAACATGCAGTACAAATTAATAAACCTGCAAAGTTGTACACGAACCTGATATAATTAAAAGTGCCAAGTCAATTGTTAAACAGAAAAGTACCTGTATTGAAGGTAGATATTTGGATTCCTTTCACAATTTGATTCAACATTAAGGTTACTAAACTCTACATTGTACATTGAATTAATTGTAAACTCATAGTTGCTGCTGACATAGAAAATAAAGTAAGCAAATAAATGGCATGGTAAATACTATGTCAAATCAAAGTAAACACGTACTGCTTGCGTGACTCGCCTAGCTTCACGTCACTATGCGTCTTCCCTTCGGCTTTCACCATCCTAGTACAGCCAGATCTGAAGGCCTTTGTCGCAATCTTGCTACGCTGTGTGTCGTGGATCGCTTAGACGGGTTTCATGCTCTCTTGGTTATTAAGCATCCCTTTTTGGGGATGGCCGAGGGGAAAACATGTAGTGAAGTGAAGCTAGGCGATTACACATGCAGTACGTGTTTACTTTGATTTGACATAGTATTTACCATGTCATTTATTCAGTGTTATTTGCGTACATTGAAATATATAGAGATCTTGTACTCAAGTTTATCAGACAGTATACAGTAAATAGCACTGTCTGAAGAGGTCATCAATCAGTATCTAGTATGTAACATTTAACATTAAAGTTACCAATATGAAAGCATGGGGATGTGATGACTGGACGGTTACATTATAAAAGCATGAGATGTGGACGGTGAACAAAGCCACAAAAAGTGCTAAAATGACATTCAACTAAATATGCAAAAAAAAAAGCTTTAAAAAAAAAATTGATTTGCAAGAGGTAACCCTGGAAAAATAAAGTTATTTCAAAATAATCTCTCACTCAGACCAAGTGTGGACATGTAATCAAATTGTACAGTAATTTATAAAACTTTTAAAAAAAACTTGCACACCATCTAAAACAGGTGTTATCATGACCTATGACCCCCAACCTTTCTAGAAACAATGGACGTGTTCCATATCATGAACAACAACATTTAAAAAAAAGTTGATTGGACAATCAATTACCACAACTTGCTTAATAAAAACAAATAAATGATATATATCTACAGGGCAATTTATGTCAGTTAATAATTATCAGGAGTTGAAGAAGAAGGGAGCTGATGGTGCAAGGTTTCTTTTTAGTGATACATTACAGACCTAAACTATGACCCTGAAGGAAGATATGAATCATCACATGGAGAGACTGACTCATCTACCTATGTGTATTCACAATGTAATTATCAACACTGTTTAAATCAGCATCATATAAATTCAACTATTAAAAGCCACATACTCAGGAATTGAGTATGTTACACTTCTAGACACATAGTTCAGATTAACAATACAAATATCTACATGACATTAATACAGCGATAGAAACTTCTTAGGTTGTGAAAGTTTGGTGGCACAGGCAAACTCAGAATGCCTGCAGTTTATGCTGCATCCAGATCATCGATGTAGAGTTGTACAGTACCAAGACAAAGTTCCACTGTTTTGAAATTGAACTGTAAAGTGGCCATGAAACTAATTGGGGTGGATGCGAGCCATGTAAAGTATGCATTGTGTTTGGTTATAAATAAATTAAAAAGGTAATAAATTAAGAAGCATAATAGCTTGATTCTTCATCTTCACTTTCATCATCATCATAATCATTCATGTTATTTCCATTGGTATGGCTGGAACCTCCTGCTCTTGTTCCTCTTTCCATATTTGGTGTTCTGTTGGCACTATGACCAGTGGAGTTCAATGATCCTTTGGAATGAGCTGCAAACATACCATATCTAGACTGACCTGGTGTACTCGGCGGCCTCAGTGAATTACGAAAGTCCTGTAACAAAACAATATGAAAGACTTCATTATTGCACACCCAAAATAACTCAAGGTTAGGGGCTGACAAACTGGAGACCAAGGGTTAGGGGCAACTATCAATATAACAGGCAATCTTTATTACTCCCTGTATACAATCAATTCTGGTCAGGCCTAATCTGTTACCGGGGTATATTACTTATATGTATGTACATACAAAATGGCATACCCATACATATGGTACCTTGAATATGCTATTAAAATTGTATATAAATAGGTGATTTTTCCATTCATTGTGGGATCTCACGTAACGTGAAAGGTGCAAATCAAAAGTACAAAAATCAAATAATTCGATTTTGAACTTTTTTTATAGTACAATGTCGAACAGAGAGGAATATGGAATTAATATACCATACTTCAGCAAAACTGGCCATCACCAAATGTGTCCAGTGAAATTTACTTTACTGTATTTTGGACTACCCTCTTAAAGTGTTAAATAAATAAAATAAATAAATGTATAGCACATTATTAAATACCCAAAAAGTACTTTTGCAATTTTTGAATCTCACACAATATTTTGATGCAACTATGTTTGATTTCATCTATAACACGAGATCCGGCAGTGAAAAGGAAATTGTCTATTGTGAGTGTTCTCTGGGTTAAAGTATGTATGTATCGAGCCCCAAATCCAGGAATACTATATCAGGAAAAGTGGCAACAAAAGAGTTTCATGGAATTTTAATAGAATTGAATTATAATGATACAACGATAAGCAACCCAAAACAAGTCATAGCAGTGAAAACTAATATAAGTCTACAATGACTTTGATCTCATCAACAGGTGTGATAGAGAGAGAAGGCTGAATACCTTTCACAAGGTGATGAAGTAAGTCAAATATAAAACGAATTGTTATACTTTTTGACTAAAAAAAACAATTCATTCATTATCAACCATGTACCAAATCTTTTGAGTACAGTAAATTTATCAATGTGTATTGAATATAAGTGAATTCAAAGACTTACCTCTAAGTCTTCTTCATCATTTATTGACATCAAATATTGATATGCATTGCTGTACACTTCTAACGCCTTAGAATGAAATGATAACTCTACATTGACAAAATCTCGTAAAATGGTCTGCAACAAAATACAACATGATTTCTTATTGACACATTCATGCCTGTGCTGCCCATGTCTGCCATGTTAGTTAAAAAATAATAGTCTCACTGGGCATGATATACTGGGTATATATATATATATATATACACGCTCAATTTACACAAGAACATTCATGATCAACAGCTAATAAATTAATGGCCATGACATATGCACAACAAAGAAAATGAATTTTATGTAAATCAACTAATGGCAAAAAAAAAAAATCAGCAGTACCGGTAATTGAATACTGTAAAATGACTAATTTTCACTGGATTTAAATTTCGCTGATTTAGCATTTCAGGGTTTCAGTAGGTTTTAAATTCACGGTTTTATCATTTAGATAATGTGTTCTATGCTAAATTTTACATATTCACTGGGATTTAATTTAGCGCATTTTCCAATCAGCGAAATAAGCAAAATTAAAACCCAGTGAATAATTAACCCTTTTACAGTATGTTAAAACCCTTCTCTGGGATAAAAGTGAATTCATGTACATGCCATCACCCCATTGAACACAGCACATCCCAAAGTTATTGATAAACTGTGCTGACCTACGAAAACATCACCAGAGCAGCGTTTAAAGATCCTGATCAAAAGATATATTACACAAGCTGCAATACCAGACCAAACCCTAGAACTTACTGAAGATAAGATACAGGGTACATTCATACAATCTATCTTTCCATCAGGATTTGTACCCAGGTTATGTGCTGCTCTGGCAATGTTTGAAGGGAGAAATGATGCTGTAGATATAGATGGTATGAATAATTGCAACTTCCAGACATGATGTGTTCAATGGTGATGACAATGTGGTAAATTATGTACATTGAAATGAGACAATATATATTACATCTGCTTATAAACAGTGTGTAAAGTTCCAGTTAATTATTTGTAATCAAACAATATTTTTCATAGCATTTGGAAAGTGCAATTCACACCCTAATGGGTTTCTCATTTTGTTAGCTAAAGAATGGATCACTAAGACACAATGCAATACAGTCTGCTTACCTTTATATCTTGTAGCTTCTTCTTTTCAAACCTATCCATTTCATCTTCTAATGCTTTGGTTGATCTTGTAGCATCTACGCTGGCTTTCTGCAGTTCAGATTCCGCTTGAGATATTTGGTGCCTGTCACCAGGGTTTTTTTGCCTTATTTTTTCTAATTTCTTTTGTTGTGCCTGTTCTTTGTGGTAGGCAGAAAAAGATGCTCTCAAATCAGCCTATAAGATAAATGTATAAATAGAATTTTAATAGTGACAAACTGAACACCCTCAACCAAAATTACATACTGAGGTAAACAGACTGAACACCCACAACCAACATCACATACTGAGATAAACAGACTGAACACTCTCAACCAACATCAAAAACTGAGGTAAACAGACTGAACACCGTCAACCAACATCACATAATGAGGTAAACAGACTGAACACCTGCAACCAACATCACATACTGAGGTAAACAGACTGAACACCCACAGCCAACATCACATAATGAGGTAAACAAACTGAACACCTGCATCCAACATCAAATACTGGGGTAAACAGACTGAACACCCACAACCAACATCACATACTGGGGTAAACAGACTGAACACCCACAACCAACATCACATACTGATGTAAACAGACTGAACACCCTCAACCAACCTCACATACTGAGGTAAACAGACTGAACACCCGCAACCAACATCACATACTGAGGTAAACAGACTGAACACCCACAACCAACATCACATACTGAGGTAAACAGACTGAACACCCACAACCAACATCACATAATGAGGTAAATAGACTGAACACCCGCAACCAACATCATATACTGAGGTAAACAGACTGAACACCCGCAACCAACATCATATACTGAGGTAAACAGACTGAACACTCGCAACCAACATCCCATAATGAGGTAAACAGACTGAACACCCGCAACCAACATCACATACTGAGGTAAACAGACTGAACACCCACAACCAACATCACATACTGAGGTAAACAGACTGAACACCCGCAACCAACATCATATACTGAGGTAAACAGACTGAACACCCACAACCAACATCATATAATGAGGTAAACAGACTGAACACCCACAACCAACATCACATACTGATGCAAACAGACTGAACACCCTCAACCAACCTCACATACTGATGTAAACAGACTGAACACCCTCAACCAACCTCACATACTGAGGTAAACAGACTGAACACCTGCAACCAACATTACATACTGAGGTAAACAGACTGAACACTCTCAACCAACATCACATACTGAGGTAAACAGACTGAACACCCACAACCAACAACATATAATGAGGTAAACAGACTGAACACTCTCAACCAACATCACATAATGAGGTAAACAGACTGAACACCTGCAACCAACATCACATACTGAGGTAAACAGACTGAACAACCACAACCAACATCACATACTGAGGTAAACAGACTGAACACTCTCAACCAACATCACATAATGAGGTAAACAGACTGAACACTCTCAACCAACATCACATACTGAGGTAAACAGACTGAATACCCACAACCAACATCACATACTGAGGTAAACAGACTGAACACTCTCAACCAACATCACATACTGAGGTAAACAGACTGAACACTCTCAACCAACATCACATAATGAGGTAAACAGACTGAATTGGGTGACGATGCATCAAAGTGTTGTCCTTCACTGAAACATCACAAGGTCTCCAGAGCAGAATGTTCTATTACAAGTGTTATGCATTTAACTGTTTAGCTTCATTTGGAGCAAGTATGGGTTAACAATATCCAATCGTCATGTCAAAGTGCATACAAAATCGTAAATGTAAAACCTTGCATAGAAGGCAATGTTCAGCAAGCAATCTCACCTTTGCATGTTTACATTCTGTTCCATATAGTGTTAAAGGTGTTACTACTTTGGATTCCAGTCTTAAAACCTGGTGAAAAGATAAACATTGTCATCATTGCAGAGTTACACAAGAAAGAATTCTGTTACAGTGCAATATTTTATGTGTGTGAATATATGAATTGATCAAAGGACACTACGGAATAAATAAAGGCATCATATTATTGTTTCCTTGCATCTTGTATTTCTGAGTCTGAACTGTAACATTGATCATTGAAAGAAGGGCATGAACTTTCTACAACTCAGTTAATTACAATGTTGCTAAGGTCACTGAAATTCATTTTAAAATATTTAACACTGCTGTTAATAATAAGGACTTAGGTAGAAAGTCTATTAGTTCATGGTAGTAAAAATGCTTGTTTTAATCAAAATAGTGAATTAATCTGATAAAAATGGAAATTATTTTTATCGTGTGTGTGAAATAATAATAATTTTTGATAGATTCAATAAATAGTTATTCATTATTTTTCTGATGAACATAATATCTACCATGATATGATCTAGCATGAGAAAGTTAATCATGCCCACATCGACAGTGTTGCCATCTCTAGGCAAATCACCCGAGATGTAATGTGAAACATACATTAAAACATTAGTCTGACAATAATTATTTTTGTGCTTCATTATGTTTCAAAAGTTAAAGCACGAGTCAGAAGGACACAAATTTAAATCTTTAAAATTGAAAAGATAAATTAAAATTAAATTATTTTTTTTTAAATGAATTTGGTTGAGTGAAATAATTTTATGATAATACAGATAATAATGTAACCAAGGAAACAATATGATACACCCCAGCAAATGACAGCTTACCAGGATGTTATCACATATTGGATTACAGTTTGTCTGTAATTATTAATTGTAAAACATTGTACTTATATTGTATTCCTTTTTACTTTAACAATGTACATGTACTTTATATAACTGTATTATTTTTACTACTGCAAGGAACCCTCATTAATCATTCCTTTCACTAACATTTTTTTAAATAACAGAAATAAAATTGTAAATAAATATAGAAATAATGTAAAATACTGATACGTCTACTGTCTGGGTACTGGATTATTCAATCAACTATGCCATTGTAACACCTGTCTGGATGACAAATATAGAATACTAATACAAAATTCATTCTGCCAAAAACTGAGACTACACTACAAATACCGCAGCTTGTCAGATATAAACAACTCACAAATCAATTATTGAACCATTTGTCATTCAATCTCTGGATATAAATTATGCATCTACAATTCAATATTATGTGATTTTTACTTGACATTTTAATAACACCAGATTTCATACTTCCAGATCATTTAACTACTGAGCTGTTCAGCATGAAGTAATCATTAAATTTCAACAATGTAAACATGGTCAAATGCTTTTGTTGTCCTGAATTTAAATTTGGCAATGTGAATTTCTGATTAGTTTATCAGTGACCTATTGGTTTCAAAGGACAGTTACTGATCAACTCAGTCTAGCAGAACCATGTCAAAATACATTAATTGATTGCCTGTTAAGTTGCTTGCAGAAGGAAGTTAAAATTTAGCTGTGGATTTCAATTTCCAAAGTAAATTGATTGTTACCTGACTGTGTTCTAAACCTTGAACACCATGACCTGAACTGATCTGATCTGGGGTGTTCAATAATGACAACTTCCTAACAACCTAATATATTCACAACACAGCTGAGAAATTAATTTTGACTAAGAATGCAATAGAAATTTTAGTTGATGTATCAGCTTATTGATAGCATCAAGAGGTACATTTATTAATTTTAAGAATTGTACAGTATTTGGTACCAGACATAACCAAGAATACTGACAGCACACTATGTTTCCAGATCGGCTGAAGAGCTGAATATATATGGACCTTACCTCTGCATTTCTATAATCTTGTACTGACGACATACATTCTGCAAAGCTAGTAAGTCCGGACTTCATTGATGGAGTCTCAGAATCAGCGTAGGTCAGTAATGCTTTGGCCACATCATCACCCTTGTCTCGAAGTCTAGCTGTCTTTCGTGTATAAGCAGCTATTTGTTGACATAGATCAGCAAAGTGTTTCTCTGTGCTTCCAATTCTAGACTGTACAAACTTGGACTGATTTTCCCTGTTTTTCATGAGAAAATTGTGCATTTAAAAAGCATATAACTTAATTTTGTGCTCACCATAAAAAAAAACATACACTGAAGTAACCACCAAAATAATGCCATACTAACAGTTGCAGATATGATGATAAACAAAGTACTGTGGTATGATTTTACTGTGTACATTCAACTGTACTAAAGCATGGAGGTGAGCATTAACAGTAGAAAATGTGCAACAATCATTTTTATCCATTTCTACATATGTAGAAAACGTGTGTATGCATGTGTATACCAAATATAGATTGCCAATAGTTTTCAAGAAGTGTAATTTATGAAACATTGACACTAAACAGCGATGTACATAAGCTACACATCAGCAGGAACTGGAAGTAAGGGATGCAATAGGTTTACTGAATGTTTAAGTGATTGGATTCTTTAGTAAAGAAAAGAAAGCTCAATTTTATACAGTTCTTGAGTATTTTAATGATGGAGCCCTGCATTTACAAAGAGGTTGTCATTTTAGACTCTCTTTCTCTAGACTCTAGTTCTATACTATAAACTACTAATTGAATTATGTGAGTTTGTGCCCTAATGCAGGGGATCATATGCCAAACATTAGGAGGGCAAATATCAAACACCCAAATTTAAGCAGTAGTATTTGTATAAGATGCCTCCAAGATGTCAATAAATTTTACTGATAGGTAACTAGCACATACATTACTGGTTTACAAAATCCAAGCCGAATTGATGTGAATGTCACAATTTTGAACAAACATATCGGTACTCCACATAGCAATGGTTATATTCACGCTTCACTGGGCCACAAAATACCCTGGACATTCTCACTCTAAACCAATTACCATGTATAGAATTTGCGTGAAAGTGAAGGTATGTAATACCGGTAATGTATCACACTCTACTTCTTGCTTTTAAAAGAAAAACAATAACAATCAGTTGTGCTTGATCAGCATCATTTTTTGGAAGTAACAAGGCGGAACTTCATCAGCAAGACTGCCTTACAATAAAAATAATAATAGTTTGAGTATAGTAGTGTATTTTTGTTAACAATTTTGCTTTCAGTTTCAAAGTTTAATCACCCCATACCCATTTACTAAACAGTGATGTACATATCTAAAATAAATAAATGTATGTATTATATAAGAAATTATTGTGAACAACCCTTACGAATTATGTGAAGTCAGTATCCAGACCTCTAACATTACATTATAGCACAAAATCCTCCAAAATGAAATCATGGAAGGGGTTGTTCAAAAAAGCATTTCTTATATTACACATAAAATGAGTAAACATAAGAGATCAGTCCATGATGAGTACACTCAAAAACAGGCAGAGACAGAATCTGAATATTGTGATTTGATGGTCAACTGAAAAAAATGGCCACTGCAAGAAGGTTAATTGAAAAAATGGAAAGAAAGGAGTCAATTAAAAAAAAAAACACCATCACAATAGATTCACAGTTACACAAACACAGTAGTGTTTTGATAAACACTAACTACAGTTTGTTTAAAAAGTCTTTGTCTATGTTTACCCACAGACTCAAGTTCATTAAGGTTTAGTTAAGTCTATAAGGAGGTAGATACTTTTTGTTGTCAGTATTTAATGAATGTTGTTATAATAATCAATTACTGAATGTGCAATCATTGCCAAAACAACAGATAATTTTACAAATAAAGATTTTAAGTTTCACAATTTTCAACTATATGCACAAGATTGAAAGCACTACAGTTTGCAAGAAGATTCAAAATAGAATTATAGTCCAATGTTTTACACTCGCAATTGTTACACACTCTTGGAAACACGACTTTATGCATGTTGTTTCTGAAATGGAATAATTTATAAACAAAACAGTTGAAAGAATACAGGTAACCTTCATTTAGATACACTGAAGTTAAAATTAGATATATTGAAATTTGCATGGTTACTCATATTGAAAATGTTTACTATTCAGGGAGCTGGATGACATGCGATAGTTTTAATAAATTAGCCTACCAGTCTACTCTAGCGACTGCTTAATTGAGCTAGCAGAATTATTCATAGTTAAAAATATTATATAGCATGTTGTCAGTGGTAATGCAAATCAGTAAAATTTTTGCCAATTTTGGTATTTTAAGTCAATATTTAGTGTAACCTATTACTTTTCAATGCTACAACAAGTGATCTTTAAATTAAGGCAGTAACTGTACTTGTTCTCCTAAAATGTTATGGACTATTTGATGCTTTGTTACCAGCATGCTAATCAGTAGAAATCCATTCACCTGGACAACAATACCGTCAATTCTCTTGATCCAACAATGCATACTTCAGTTGTCAGGTAATTGATAAAGAAAATTAAAATTATGGATAGAAGAAAAAATTGGATCATACACGGATCATAATGGACAAATTTGATCTCACGGTAAAGATCTAACAGAAAGGGAGCGGTTCTTTTAATTCAATCGTTTCATATACATGTATGACCCCGGTAGCAAATACACTATTGTCAAACTGGAGGCATTTAAACACTAAACCTGTCCGAACATGCATATAGGTTGGTTTATATTCACAAAACGATAAACATTCCAATATTACCAAATAATTGGAGAAGCAATGAATGGATACAATTTTTTCAATGAAACTATAACAGTTAACTGTAAACTATAAACTATAAACTATAAGAATTAAAAGCCTAGACGATAATTCAATTATGAAAATCTCGTAGTTTGCCTATTGCTTATATACGACCAGTATACACGCCCTTGGCTATTGTTACACACAGCGTCTAAAATGAATTCAGGTCGTCAGTCGAGACAATACCTCGCTCTTGGTGGAATGTAGCCCGGCGATGACTGTGCGTGTCCTCTCGGTGGCGAATATGAAACTGTTCTGTGATGGTGAGAGCTGTTTATGGCAGTAGTGGATCGAGTACTGCCTCGATACGATCCTAAATGTGCCGCGGACATCTTACAATTCCAGATATATTAGTCGTAACATTCCCAATCGTTACTGCACAGACAACAAAATGGCGTCGACCGTCCAAACACAAATTAAACAAATAAATCGTACATGGTTTCTTGCCAAGAATCTCTCGCAAATATCCTAGCGACGTAATCTCTCAAATAATAAACCAACGACGTATAATATCTAACCGAAAATTTAATGATTAAACCAACCAACCAACACTTCGGTTAAAAATCAGTCATACATACCTCGCTCGGACCTCCGCACCTCGACTCGTCATTTCAACTCCGTAGTTCAGTTGCGATTTAGCAACAACGTGCAAATCGTATAAACAAGGTTCAGTCTGACATGAGTTGATATCGAAATGTTGAACCTTTCCTGGCGCTTCAGCATATATGCATAAAAACAATGTATCTTCGCCGTAAAATCGTTATGTATACAATTTCCAGCTGGAATCGTTTTCTTTGACCGTCACTGCACTCTCGCTCTCGCACTCAACGACGCTGAGTGCCCAACGCTTGGGGGCGCTACATAACTTGTACCATTGAGTAACTTGTCATACAGCAAGCACTGCTGACGACTAACTCGAAAACTAATAATTGTATACATATTTTGGTAAAAAATATTGTTACTTCTATATGCTCTAAAATACTAGTATGCGCACTCCACTGGAGTAGTAGTCTACCTTCAACGAGGGCAATAAAGCAGATCTTGCCTATTCTGAAATATTTCGTGTAAAGCAAAATTCATCATCGTCTCGCTACTCTACTAAATTAGTAGTCGTGGTATTGTGGGTTCCTAGTAACAAACAAGTTTAAGTGTTATGGATCTATGATAAGTTATTTAATTTGGACAGACCCCGGGGGACAGACATGACATGATGAATCCACTATGTATTGCCCCACAATCTAAAACTCAATGATGTATATGAATAGTGTGGGCTATTCATGTACATCCAGCACATCGCTTACAATTGGCTGTTAACAAATTGAGGCAAACAGGAATATTCATACGATTGTGTGTTATTTCTTCAAAACATTTTGTCATTTCAACGGTTGTTTGCGTCAGGGAACTGGCGTTTTTTATAAGGGTAAGGAAAAGTGGAATTAGTGGAAGGTCGTTAATTATCATGCATACGTTGCATTGTTTATGTCAGTCTTGAAGGAGGGTCATACTTATTAGTCCACTTTCCAAGAATAAAAAAACTTGAAAGTTATGTATTGCTTTATTGACCAGTACTTATCATACTTACCACTATAAAGATGCCTTCATGATCTTGACCATGGCTATACCACCCTTATTATGTGTTCTTTACTAACAATACTACCACTACGATCATCATGACTACATTGACTAGCATCATGCCCATCATTACCATGGCTACCATGACTACAATCACTCTCACCAATACTACTACTATTATCATAACTACCATTGATTTCGCAATTTGATGGTATTGATGTAAATATTGCGTTTAAAATCTTTGATGGTAAAATCCTACAAATTTTAATGTACGCTAGCGAAGTCTGGGGCTTTCATAATGGCAATCAAGTTGAAATTATACAAAACAAATTCTGTCGATTTATATTGAAAGTCTATCTTAATGCACCAGATTTGGCTATAAGGGGGGAGTTAGGTAGGTTTACTATTAAAACGTTTAGACTTATTAGGATTATTAAGTACTGGCTTCGCATTTTATCATTATCCCGGCACAGACTAGTCTATTTATCTTACACGTTTCAGTACCATGAAACAGAAAAGGGTAAAAAGTGTTGGGCCCTGAATTTAAAAATGTTACTTCTTTCTTATGGTCTGGGTGAGGCATGGTACAACCAAGGGGTGGGGAACTCTGAATACTTTGTTAAGCTTTTCAAACAGCGATGCTTGGACATTGATATTCAAAATTGGCAAAGTGGACTCGAGTTATTTCCGAAGCTGTGTTTTATAGAAAATTTAAATATATATTTGGTCAAGAGAATTATTCTAAAACAGTCCAAAAAGACTGTTACAGGAAAGCATTGTGTCGCCTAAGAATTTCTGCCCATTGTCTACGTATTGAAACTGATAGAAATTCCATAATACACGCACAAAAAGAGTTTGTATTTTATGTAATACCAATTGTGTACGAGTACCATTTTTGCATTATCTGTCCGTTTTACCAAGAGTTGAGATCTAAATACATCCCAAGTTATTATTATACATTTTCCTAACCCGAAAAATTTATATCGCTATTACAATTACAAAATGCAGTAATCTTGCGTAATATTTCTGAATTTATTTTCCTCGCCACAAAAAAAAACGTAATTCAATTATTTTGGTCTGGCTGTTCATGTTCTTTCATATTTTCTTGTTCTTTTTCAGTCACTGTAAAATGACATTGTCCTATGTAAAATGTTATGTAATTACAATGAGTATACCTTGAGGCCGGAGGCCTACAGTATTATTACCATTGACTACCATCACTCATCGACAATACTACCACTATCATAACTACCATTGACTACCATCACTCACCGACAATACTACTATTATCATAACTACCATTGACTGCCATCAATCACCAACAATACTACCACTATCATAACTACCATTGACTACCATCACTCACCGACAATACTACTAATATCATAACTACCATTGACTGCCATCAATCACCAACAATACTACCACTATCATAACTACCATTGACTACCATCACTCACCGACAATACTACTAATATCATAACTACCATTGACTGCCATCAATCACCAACAATACTACCACTATCATAACTTCCATTGACTACCACTACTCTTACTCACAATATTTCGATCATCATGACTATATTAACTAGCATCATCCCCATAATGACCATCACCAACAATCTTCCCGACAATACTACTAATATCATGGCTACCATAACTACAATCACTCTCACCAACAATACTACCACTATCATAACTACCATTGACTACCATCACTCTCCGAATATACTACCACTATCATAACTACCATTGACTACCATCACTCTCCGAATATACTACCACTATCATAACTACCATTGATTACCATCACTCACCAACAATACTACCACTATCATAACCACCATTGACTACCATCACTCTCCGAATATACTACCACTATCATAACTACCATTGACTACCATCACTCTCCGAATATACTACCATTATCATAACTACCATTGACTACCATCACTCACCGACAATACTACCACTATCATAACTACCATTGACGACCATAACTCACCGACAATACTACCACTATCATAACTACCATTGACTACCACCATTCTTACTGGTAATACGATCATCATGACTACATTAAATTAACCAGCATCATCGCCCCAATGACCATCACCAACAATCGTTCATACAATACTACCACTATCATAACTACCATTGACTACAAGCACTCTCACCAATAATACTACTATCATCATAACTACCATAGACGACCAACACTCTCGCCGACAATACTATGCCACTAATCATAAATACCATTGACTCCCACCAATTTCACCGATAATGCTATTACTATCATGGCTTCAATGACTACCACCACTCTCGCCAACAACACTATTACTATCATGACTACCAACAATAGTTGATGTTTCGTAAAATAATAGTTAAAAAGAGGACGTGTAAGAAGATTCTCGTTTCGACATGCATGGCCCATTACTTCCTAGACGATCAAGCCAAAAATATGTGTATTCCCGTCATAACGTAGGTCTCACAAACATGGTTTTGTCTTTTTGTTTGGAACATGCAAACAATTCTGAATCTGAGCCATGATTATTTTTCTATTAAAGCCTTGCACGTTTTTCGGGTGCTTACGATGTGCATTCTAAATGTTGGCTTGTGACGACCGAGTGCGTCAAAACATAAGAAATAAAAAAAAAACTATCGAGTTCTGGTTATGAATGCGTAGACAATGTATCTCTAAAATATGGATCCCCAGACTTAGCTTTCTCATCCATATTTAGATAAGACATTGCACTACTGCAGTGTTCAAGTTTGGATTTCTGGGCTGCACCAGTGAGGCATCTAGAAACAAACCTATTTTGAAATTGAATAAGGGGGCATTCATTTTTAATAGCCTGGAAGGGGGCAACCAATTTTGTTTTGTGCAAAACAAATTACATAGTTTAAAAAAACACAATATTTAGGGAGTATCGTACATTTTTTATTGTACAAAAACATTCAAGTTAATGAACTTTCTTTTAACACTTTCAAAATCATGTTTTTTCTACAAAATGTAAAGTTTATTGTACTTGTTAGATGTTATTAAACAACCAATGCTTGCACTCAAATAGTTTTCTTCTTTGAATAACTCAACTCATCATACTGTATAATACCAAAGAAGGTAGCGAAAATGAGTATTATATATTTGAAATAAGATTTATTATTAATAAAAAATATCAAAACAACAGTAAATAACATAACCATATCTCCTACACCACCTCCGTGACAACAAACGAAGGAGAAAGAATATATAGACTATACCTGGTTGGACATTGTTGTAAACTAAACTAAAAGATATGACGATATCTAAGCTTGACAAATACTTGCAACAGCACAGTTTGTCAAGAGAGAGTAAGAAGCAAGATAAAGTTAGATGCAGAAAAAAAGGGTGGAGCACATTCAGAAATCACAGACCATCGATAGATGTACAGCATATTCTACAGAATGATGATTCAGAGATTGGTAACATATTCAAGTTGTTATTCAGGAAATCAGGAGTGAAGATCCTGAAGATGAAGAAACTGAAACAATTCAGGGTGTCTATATCACCAGATCAGAGGAGAGCGGGAACATGGAGACAAGTCACAACATTGTATCTATAGTAAATCAAGAAGTCACATGTACCGGTATATAATAAGCGTACAAACGTTCAAATATCGAACTTACAGCATCTTATCTTGTGCTCTCGTTTCGTTGACTTTCTGAACTATTGTACTCCACTTACCTTACATACTTCCTAAAACGCACGATCAGATTGATTGATTGATAACTTTTATACTTGTGATGTTCATCTACACACCTGAGTACTCACCTATACTGTGAAATGCTTGCTATATTGGAAAAGTTTTTAATATATACCCCCCGGGGTCCGACTTGTGGAAATACCTGGAACCCATGTCTGTGAAAGAGGTTTTCAAAATGACCCTAAATACGTTTTAAAAGGTCATAATTTCGTACCCTTTTCACTGTTAGAAAGCTAAAAAATCACGCACCTTGAACTCGCGCCTGATCTCGCGATATTCGAGCTTTCTAACCCTTCAGTGCAAGCACGGGTTGGTCATATGCCGTGATCGCCCGTGATCGAGGGTCGTTAACCAGGGTCCGGACGTTTTCCTCGTTTTTGCGATCATTGAATTCCTTAAAGCAATAAAAAATGATAATCTCATTTAAAAAATAACCATCCTTATCACGTTGGCAGTACCGGAAAAGACACCCTTTTTGTTTATTTTAACTGAAATGGTAACCCTAAATG